GCACAAACTTTACTTTTAAGTGCTTTCCATAACTTTTTCAAAGGGTTGAGGTCAGTTTACTCTAATCCCCAGAACCACAGAAAGGCTCAGCGTAAATGAAAGGGAAATACAAAGTGAAGAAACATAAAATGAATAAATGTGATCAATAAGGGATGAGCATAATGCTGATATGCAGCCTTTACCAAATTACCTGTAATATAAAATAAATAAATAAATAAAAAAATGTCATTTGTGTAAGTATTCAAAATATTTTGTGACAATGTTTTCAAAAAGATGCAATGAATTAATTTAATTTCTAACATTGTTTTTGAGTGCAGAGAATCAGAAGGCTTTTGAAGGCTCTTTGAACACATTCTGGCAAGATCTTTGATATTTAATAAAATATTGACTGGCTTATTTCCTTTGTAAAAGACAAACATTAAGGATCAGAAAATATAGTATTTAGCTGCAATAAATGAGACCGATTCAGAAATTTGATTGATGTGAGAGTGAGACCTCCTGTTTGTATACAAGCTTTATTTTAAGTTAATCTTAAAAATGCTTTATTTATACAAAAAGGAAATTAAATGTTGTCATTTCTCTGCTGGTCATTGTTTTGTTTTAGAGTCACTGGATTTATGGCTGATGGCTTCAGTAATAAAGGACTGACAGCCCCCAGTCTGGCCCCGCCCCTCAGAACATTTGGCTCCGCCCACTTTATTTGGGGGTGGAGTTACGTCACACATTAGTGGCCAGATGAATCGCTGATAATAATTAGCAGCAATAATAAATATTATAATTGTCTCATTATGATGAGATAATATATCTCATGAGAAATTATATTATGAGATACTATCTTATTATATACTATAGAGATACTATCTCAGTGTTATATCTGAGATAGTATTATATCATAACATTGGATTATATCTCATATGTTATTATTATAACATATAATAATAATAATAATAATAATAATAATAATAATAATAATAATAATGTTATTATAATGAATACAATCTCATTATACTGAGATAGTATTCCATTATTTACTATGAGATAGTATCTCATAAAATTATAATGAGATAATAATGAGATTATTATCAAGATAATAATCACCTCATTATAATGTTATTATGAGAACATTATCTTATTAATGTTATCTCATTATAATGAGATAATAACTATCTCATTATAATATTATTATGAGAGAACATTGTCTCATAATAATGTTATCTCATTATAATGAGATAATAATTATCTCATTATATAAGACCTAATTACTAGCATTAATAATGAGATAATAATTACCTCATTACGTTATTATGAGATACTATCTCAATATAGTATCTCAATAACCTCATTATAATTATCTTGTTATAGTGAGGTTATTAGAATTTTATTGTGGGAGAATTATAATAATCTAACTACTGAACACAAACAATTATAAAAAGACCTAAATACTGAACATTAACAATTATAAAAAGAACTAACTAACCATTAACAACTATAAAAAGAACTAACTAACCATTAACAATTATAAAAAGAACTAACTAACCATTAACAACTATAAAAAGAACTAACTAACCATTAACAATTATAAAAAGAACTAACTAACCATTAACAATTATAAAAAGACCTAACTAACCATTAACAACTATAAAAAGAACTAACTAACCATTAACAATTATAAAAAGAACTAACTAACCATTAACAATTATAAAAAGAACTAACTAACCATTAACAATTATAAAAAGAACTAACTAACCATTAACAATTATAAAAAGACCTAACTAACTATTAACAACTATAAAAAGAACTAACTAACCATTAACAATTATAAAAAGACCTAAATACTGAACATTAACAACTATAAAAAGAACTAACTAACCATTAACAACTATAAAAAGAACTAACTAACCATTAACAATTATAAAAAGACCTAAATACTGAACATTAACAACTATAAAAAGAACTAACTAACCATTAACAACTATAAAAAGAACTAACTAACCATTAACAATTATAAAAAGACCTAACTACTGAACACTAACAACTATAAAAAGAACTAACTAACTATTAACAATTATAAAAAGAACTAACTACTAACCATTAATAATTATAAAAATTGTCAATTAATCTTATCTGTGGAACAAAGTTTTGTGTCTCTGCCACAGAACCTTCTGGAAACATCTTCCTGTCCTCAACATGGACGCTCTGCGTTGGCGTCTCTGCGTTGGACAGGTCTGTGGGGCGTTCAGTGGAGTCACCTTTGCTGAATGTTTCAGTGCAAATTTCCTGAAGAAGCTCTTGATGTTCCCCATCATAACTTTGAGCTTGATTTTGGCTCAGCACTCGTCTTCTCAGTCTCTTTTGCTCCGTCTTCAGGCTCTTTAGGCTCTTCAGGCTCTTCAGGCTCTTTAGGCTCTTTAGGCTCTTTAGGCTCTTTAGGCTCTTCAGGCTCTTTAGGCTCTTTAGGCTCTTTAGGCTCTTTAGGCTCTTCAGGCTCTTTAGGCTCTTAGGCTCTTTAGGCCCTTCAGGCTCTTCAGGCTGAACTGGGTTGTTGACAGTTCCTGTCTCAGGTGGATGCAGTCTATCCATGAGGTCCTTAATGATTGACATCGATTCCTCAACCATATATCTGACTACGGCTTTCAGAGGTCCCTGGTCGGCATGATTCCTTGGAGGATCATCTGAGTCGGAGTCCAGGCTGTGATAGATTTGATGCAACAGATATTTCACGATTAGCCGGTTTAAATACTCCGCGTGCTCAGAGCGGTATTCTCCACCGACGCCCATAATTTCAACAAAGGTCTCTGGCACTTTGTTCCCCACGGCCGCCTCCAAGGACTCGATAGTAAATAGTTGTTTGTGGAGATTTCTCAGAACTTTGGATGTAAATATTTCTAAGATCTCTCCACAAATGTCCCCCAGAGTGCAGCTGGTGCTGGGTGCTGGGTTCCCAGTCTCCAGCCTCAGCCACTCCTCTGGGGTCATGTTGATGAAGAGGCGGTCGACCACGGCCTCCAGGGCTTCCACGGTTACAGTCTCTACTGGTGCAGAACTGCTGGCCATGATTCCTCTGTTGGTGAGTTCAGCTGCTAAAATAACTGGAACAGGAGATCTGAGCTTTACCACGAACAAGTGCAAAGTGACGATGGAGATCAAGAATGAGCAACTATAGAGCCTGCTATGACGTCAGTCCACACGTCATAAGCATCAAAGCTCCCCCGAACTACAGTCTTATGTCTTGACGTAACAAGTCACGTTGCATCAGCAGCCTCTCTACTGCGCATGTCTCCTCCAGACTATCTATCTATTTCTATGTACAGTTGGGCTGCGGCGTCTGCAGCCATCAGGTTTCCTTTCAGCGCCTGGTTTGTGCAGCTCACACTGCTTCCGGTTCAACCCGCTGCTGGTTCATTTCTCACGGTTTATAGTTTGTCTTCATGGATGCAGCTGCATCTTCATTTTCCTCTGGTTGGGACCAAAATAGGAAGAAACTATTTGTCCTTTTCCCGGTAACTATGAACTGCGGTTTATTGATTTCCGTGAAACATATAAACTGTAGGAAAATCCTGCTCTGGTGTCCTTATTGTTCACCAAGTTGGTCTCATTTAGAGAAACTCTGCTTCCTGAGAGCTGATGATTTTACCGTGAATAAAACCGCTTTATTATCGCTAGTTAATAATAGCGATGTTTCGGGCATTTTCTCTCACCTGCATTTAATCATTTGGGCTCATTAAGAGAGATGGAGATTTATATGTTTACGTCAGAATAATACATTACTAAAATAATAGTTACGTGCAGCTGTGATGGATTGAAATTTGGTTATTTAAGAGGCCGACTAGTCTGATTTGGCTGAAGCAGTGGTCAGATTCGACCAGCAGGGGGCGTCTAGCGCTTGCTCTCGCTATAGTGAAGAGCACCGGAACTTCCTCCTTCGAGCAAAAGCACCGTGTCCGGCTCTTCATTAAAATACTCCCCTTCTTCAGGTATGAGTATCTAAATATGTAGATTGTAAATGAGTTTAATAACTTTCAGAAAGCTGTTAGTTCATTTTGACGCTCTGAATGTCAATAAATTCCGTTGTTAGCTCCGCTGTTAGTGCCGTTGCTAAGATACGTTTGTAAGCTAAATGGCTCTTTTGTTAAAATACTCTTCTTCTTCACGGCATTTGACTTTGGATAGTCTTGAGGCTACACCTGCAAATTATCACCATTAGACAGAAAAAAATACAAAAAAAAAAAAGAGTTAATATCCGCAGCCCCCCCCAAAAAAGTTAAAAATTTAAAATAAATAAAATTTTGAGATTAATCTCAGAAGTTTTGTAAAAAAAAAAACATGGAGTTTCAGAAATCACAACTTTTGAAAATTGAATGAAAAAAAACAAAACAACAACAACTCTGCTTAAACCATCACGTGTTATTAAATGTATTCTATAAGTTGATTGATGGTGTGTCAGGGTCATGGTAGAAAGAAATTCAGAAATGCTTTAATTACGTTAGGAAATTTTCTAGAAGAGTTTGAAAAGTAAAAAAAAAAAAACACAACTTGCTAGAAAAAAAACAACAGAAGTTTTGAGAAATTTGGTATTTCCTATTAAAAATATTGACATTTTCTCATTTTTTCCCCCAAAAATCCAAAATTGCCAACTTTTGCAAATTTTCTGAGTTTCAAAAGTCAACCTTTTTGTCTTTACTTTTCCATCTTAGAAATTTTCAACTTTTTTTCTAGAACATTTCTGAGAATAATTAAAAATGTCAGAATTTTTTAGCTGAATTTTACTCCTTTATTCTGTCTTTTGTTTTCTTCTGTTTTGGAAATGGTATTCATATTTGTTTTTTATTAGAGGGTGACAGTTTGGGAAAGATGGTTGAAACTGGAGCACATTTGGTCATTTCAACATGACAATGAGCAAAAAACACATAACGGCTAACATTAAGCTTGTTGTGGTGAGGCATTTTATTCATTTATTTTGTGTTTAAATGGTCTGTTATAAACTGACACTTGAACGCATCACAGATTAAACATGTTTATTGACAAGGCCTGGGTCAGACATCATCACACTGTACAATGTAGAGAACAATAATCACAATAATAAATACACAAACACCAGCAGATAAACTTTCTCACAGGCACTATTTTTTCTTACGCAGGCACAGGCTGATTTTACAGAGATGGAGTTTAATGACCTTCAGTCTGTTTGACTGCAGACAATGTTGTGGGAGAAAACCTTGATATGCAGCTTAAATAAAAACAAAAATTGATTCCTCCCCATTTCAGCCAAATTCAAGTGTTCTGCAGAGTGGAAATGCAACACAGTGTGCATTTTTAGTTTGCTTATTGCGCTGTGAATATACGCGTTTATGAGCGTCAGCAGTTTTCTCCTCATTCAGGAATTTTCATGGTGCAAGACATAAGCTCTAAAGCTGCTCTGGGCGTCAAACCATTCGATCGCAGGATTGTGTCACAGCTGCACCGTGGAGACGAGGCTGGTTTGTTCGCTCTATTACTAGATTTATAGTTAGTGTTTATGTGGTGAATATGTCTTATTGCTGGAGAATTGCTGCTAATGATCTAATTGGGCTCAGAAGTATTTAAATAAGAACAGAACTCGTCCACGCTTTAGAAAATATCTAAGAGTTATAGACATTAATCATGCGAAAACAAAAGCCATGCATATGAATATTTGTCCTTGAATCTTAAGAAAATAAATAAAAATGGAGTTGCAGAGAGGTTGAGGTCAAACCACATAGAGTCTAAATATATCCAGCTGCTGCTGGAAATAATTACTGGTTTACTCTAAAGTAAGGTAACATGAAAAACCTTCATTTGTGTATCAAAATACAGCATGAAAGTATGGAGGAACAAAAATGCCACTATGTAAAAAAAACTGTAAATTAAATACATAACCCTATTTAGCAGCATATTGTAAATGTTTTTTTTAATGTAAATACCATGTTTATATATAATAATAGTATACTTATTTATATTAAAATAAACCAAAAAATGTGCTTTATATTTTTTTAAATTATGAAAGATTGATCTATTTATATAATAGGGCCAGGGATTTAACAAGTTAGTTTCAATTAATTGATTACATTTAACCTGGTAATTTTAACACAATTAATTCCTTTTGTTAAAAACATAATCAAGTCCCACTAGAATACTGTAATATCCCGCACTAAGACAGGATACTAAAATAACGGAAGAACTTCTAAAACTATAGATTGAAGTTTTAGATGCTTCCCACAATAAATATAAATAAATAAGAAATAAATTCCACATTTATTGAAGTGTTTAATACATTATTGAACCGTTTAATAGTGAAAACTTATGTATTTCCATTTTTATTTAAATTATCAGCTAAATCAATATTTTATGTCTTACTCGTGCATTAATTTGTGGCCCCTGATATAAACTTTCAAAATGTTGTGTTTGGCGCCCCCTGTAGGCAACTGTTCAATCTGCACCAATAATCATTAAATAAAACTGCGTAACAGCTCAGAAAAAACACCAGAACGGTTACCTGTGGCTCTCATTTATGAGCTGAACCATGAGCAGAAGCTTTTTAATGTTGGTGTTTATGTTGCTCAGACCTCCACAGCGGGATCTGAGCCCAGTCCCTGCACCTGCAGCGCCTCCTCCCTCTTCATCTTCGGCTTCTCTGTCCGGGTGTGCCACACCAGAACCTTAAAATCAAACACAAACAATCAGAGAGCGTGCTAACAGGCCGAGCATTTAAAGTGCAGTTTTAGTCTCTGCGACAGAAACAGCAGCTGCAGCGTGTCGTACTTTAGTGCAGTTGTCTGCTTTGGGCTCCAGCTCGTCCACTGTCACCAGACCCTTAAGCAGGCTGCTTTCCAGGAAGCCCATTGGTGCTTCTCCGTCAAAGCAAGCGTCCGGATTGGCCAGGACCAATCGGAGGGACACCGCGAAGCCGGCCATGTCCATCGGGAACGGCCGACTGGGCCGCCAGCCGGTATGGAAGCGAACCACCTGAAAGAAAGAATCAAGTAAGAAACTGATGATCTGTTAAGGCTTTAACACGTTATGATACTAATCATTAATCTACTCATAACCCTGTAAGATCCTGTTTCTATTTCAAACAAATAAAAATATAAATACTGGTTTTCCCCCCAATCTTAGAGACTGAACCATATTGTTTAATCTTTGAATGACTTTATAATGTCCAGAAAATGTGGACATGTGTCATTTTTATGCGCAACACTTGTTCAAAATGCTAAATATATTTAATAATGTCATATAAAACACTGCGAAAAACAAACCAAAATAAAAATCTGAAAATATAATTTAATGTCCAAAGTATTCCTACCAAACCATCTACCAAGTTGAACTTTATCTCTCTTTGAAAATATTTTTCTATTTTTTTGGTCTCCGAGGGTTAAAATAATGGAACTCTTTGACATTGATTTGCAAAGATGCATCTATATCAGTGGTGTCCAAAATGTGGTTCGAGGGCCATTTGTGGCCCGTGGACTGACTTTATGAGTTAACAGACAATGAACTTAACAGACTTTGAACCGTCTTACTTTTTATTAAAGCCTTCCTGAGCTTTTCCAATGTATTTAACTTATTTTTCTGCATAATTATTTTGTCTAAATTGACACAGATGGAATTACAAACTTAAACATCCAACTTATAAGAAATGAACACAAGAGGCACAAATGAGAGTGAAGGGTTATGAACCCTTCATAACCCTTTTGTGTGAAATATTCCTTTATTAAAAGGAGTGTAAAAATCTGTGCAAATTAATCTGTTGCTGTAGGAAACATTTTTATTTTATTTTTCTGTTTATCCAAACATCCATTTTATTCCACAGCATTCAATCTTGTAGGAATCTATTGTCGGATTAATCTGATTTATTACAACAGAAAATAAAACTTATGTTGTTTTTTTCCCCTCAGTCAAAGTTTGTCAAAATGTCTTGAACTGGATTGATAGCCAGAAACTTAAGGAAGCATCTTAACAGAGAAACGACAACAACCCACCTTTCCTCCTTCAACCACAGGGCTCTCAAACTTCATCCCACCAACCAACCCGACGGGCCACACAGAAACCCGCTGAGTGCTCCTCATCTGACAAAAACATCGGGTTATGCAGAAACAAAACCATTATTTAAATTAAGCAGACAAAAATTTTTTTAATTTTTGGCACATTACATTGAAACAATCTAAACAAATTGTGTGGAAGATAATCACCTTCATGCTCAAATTTAATCCTTAAGTGCAAAATACAGATGAAATTAAATGGTGTTTTCACACGTCCAATAAAAAGATACACGTTTTTCCTCACTATCTGAAGTTAAATCAAATTAAACTTTTTTTGTTTTAGGTCAATCAAAATTACTAAAATTATTTCTATTAACAAAATGCCACAAAATTTAGCAAGAATTTTTTTGGCAACTTTTATTATGAAAATATCGAATTTTGGCTGTAAATAAAACTTTTAAACGTCATTCAACAACCAAAGGGTTAAACTTTATTACAAAACTCTGCAAACCCTGAAAATCTTCAAGCCCTTCCCAGGATTTTAAGCACCTTTAGGAAGCGTGTGTTAAGCAGAAAGCAAACATTCACAAACCTCTTCGAACAGCTGCAGGCTGTACGTGTTGTCGTCATCGGCGAAGTAAACCACGCCCTGCTGAGCGTCGTCCCCCGGCTCAGTCTTTCTGTCTTCTCTGAGCCACCGTAGTCCTTCATTTCTCTGCTCGACACCGCGGGGTTTCAGCCAGCTGGGGTCACCCTGAGGTCAGCAGTGAAAAGTCAGAGTAAAATAAAAGCAGGCTTTAATGTTGTGGGTTTTTATTCATATTTTTGGTACTTCACCAAATTGTTTTGTTGTTTTTATTATTATTACGATGATTTTTAAAAAAAATCAAACTTATTTTGATCATCTGTGATGTTATGAATCACTTTGGTCAGCTGAGGTTTATGTAAATGTGCTACATAAATAAACTTTGACTCGACTTGAACGCCCAGTGAAAATTTAAGGGGGACTTACAGATAATTCTTAACTCAGATAAATGAAAATGTAATTTTTGACAAGTCACAATTGCAATCAAGATGTCTTGAATTATTTTTACCAGCAGTTTTGGGCACATTTACCGGAGTAACTTTTTAAAAATGTACTTTTAGGAGTATTTTTTACTGGGCTGTAGTTTTTACTTTCACTTGAGTAATTTTATTATGAAGTATTTCTTCCTTGAGTAAAATTAAAATTAACAAAACATTCACCAGACACAGACTGTGTAGACTGTTAAAGTCTCATAAGTTTTATATTAAAAGAAACTGATTTGGAAAAATGTCTTTAGACTGATTTTGTTATTTTTTTGTTTCTTATGGGATTGATTTTGATTTGGTTCTTAAACTTCCAAATTCTCTTAATTTTATATTTTGGTCCTTCTGATGATGTAATTTTTAAACATTAAATGACTGATTGATCAGTTACTCAGTATTTGAATCGACTTCTTTACCAAATACTTACCTTAAGTTACTCTCACTTTATTAATTCTTTGGATGGCTACATTTACTTGAGTAAAAATATGTTGAAATAGTGATGTTTTTACTGAAGTACAAACTTTGGGTACTTTGCCCAGTCAGGAAGTGAATGCATATATCCTAAATTATCATTCGGGACGGTCAAAATGTCATTTTGGATTTCTAGAATGTAATCATGGATAGTCAGACAAAACCGATTTTATGTGAAAATGGCGTATGAGCCCACCTCCTGCAGTTTGCGCTCCTTTGCGGTGGGAACGTTCAGATGCGTGTAGGTCAGGCCGCTCTTCAACAGGAAGTTGGAGACGAGTTGCGTCTTGCGTGGCGAGTCCTCCACCAGGATCCAATGCAGCTGAGGGACGTGAAGGAAAGTCTGGGACAGACGGGTCAGCTCGGCCTTCTGCACCAGTCTGTGACAAGGAGACGAAGACGGGCACTGATAAACATTTCTGGATCAGACGTTTTTTTTTTTTTTTTTTTTTAAATAAACTTGATTTACAAATAAAGAGTATACAATTGCAGACAGTAGTAGTATGCTTGAGGTTCTGGGGTAACAAATCCACAGGATTCCATGAGCAAAAAGAAAAAATAAGAGTTTACAAATCAAACTAAGGCGCCACTACTGTGAGTCACTGAATCACGTCCATAAAACCAGACTGTTCCAATAAGGGATAAGGAGCAATCTGTCCTAAAAAGATAGAAGCGCCTTTCCTACCCAATTTCTATAAAGTATGGCTTAAATTAAGGAATTAAAGCAGAGAAAATTCCTTATGTTTTCATATGTATTCTCCTATAAACCTATAGTTTGGTTTCTGTCAAGATGCAACGATTAAGCCAATTTGTCTTATTTTGATTAATAATTAAATTTGACATAATTGCCACTGTTGGAGACACTGTTGAAATTTAACAAACTATAGCTGCTATACTTAAAATATTTAATCCTATTTGATGATTGGTACAAATATTGTAAGTCTAGTTTTGTCGTTTGTTGAACTTCAAGAAATTAGGAACTTCTCACATTTTGTGAAGCATATCAATGGTGACGGCGACCGAAGGGACCAGAGAATGGAGGAGGAATACCTGGCATATGTTGGGGTGATGATAAAGATGGTGGAAAGTGAGGACTTAGGAGGCTGTTTCTTCTCTGGTTGCTTCGCCTTCTCCAGCTGCCGTATCTGGCCCTGGAGGCGGTAGAGCTCCTCCTGCAGGCGGGACATGGCGCGGTCTTTCGGCAGGTCGTGCTCTGTGCAGTCGCAGTGCTGGCCTGGGCAATGAATCGATTTGATAGATTAATAGTATTTTTAGTTTTTGAAGACTTGATAGTTGGAAAATCTTGTGTTTCTATAGTTCGGAATGATGTCAACACACCCAAAACTGCCATTTTGTTTGGCATAAAAAAGAATATTGATTTTAAAGTTACTTTCAGTTCCTGAAAGTAACTGGGAATATTTTGTCCGGATGCTGTCATCTGAGACCCTTCCACCATGTCAAAAATAAATAAATAAAATTAAATATAAAACTGAGAGAAAAATGTTGTGTCTGAAAACAAGTTGTGAACTCATCTCATTCTCAGTTTCACATTTTTTTTCCAGTTTCGAATAATTTATCTTCAGTTTATTTATGTTTGTTTGAACAAACTTTATGGCACCAATTTAGCTCCATATTTTCTGGCCCTCCTACTTACCGAGCTGCATCAATGCATAGATGAGACCCATCAGGGAAACCATGAAGTACAGCACAAACACAGTCTTCAGCTTCAGCTTCATCCTCGCTGCCATGGTAGCTCTGAGAAGGCAACAGATCAAGCTAATATGAGTTTAGACAAAGTGAAGACGTTCCTTCCCCAGGCAGCTTTACTGTGAACCTAAAGGCGTTTAAATAGCACGATGACAAATCACAGGGAGAAAAGGCTAGGCTAACATTTAGCATCACTCACCAGCGGCGGGTCAGGCAAACTTAAAGCTTCATGTCATCGCGACTGGATGTAAACAAAGGTCGCTCACAGTATCAAAACCTCCATTCATTACTGGGTCTGTTCAGGACATTTCTGCAGCGAAGCGCACTAACAACGTCCGGTGTTGGTGGGACCCCTTAAAGAGTCCCCCGGAAACATCTATGATTAGTTCCGAGAGCGGAAAAATAATTTTTACCACTTTCTATGCAGGTATACTAAAATATTATAAACAAATGTTTTTTTTTTGTTTTGTTTTTTTTACTGTTTTAACTATGTGAATTATATATAACTAGCTGTCATTATGCATTTTCTTTTTCTAAGTTAAATATGACTAAAAACGATGTTATGAAAATTTTTTATGCAATTCATTTTATGTGCTGTAATTTATTTTATGCTCTTCCACTTTTTCATAGGTTTCCGCAATTAAAAATCTGAAAAATGCTCATCTCATGGTTCATGCATCATTCTGCAAATGAGAAAAAAAGAGGACCTCAATCAGAAATTTTAAAATATAAAAACTTTAAATTTTACTATAAATAATGCTTATTTCAAAATGAGATAATTTTTTTCAAAAATAAAAACTGAATTATATAATGGAACCTATATTCCAATTTTGAAATAAAAAATACATTAAAAACTATGAAAAATCAAAACTGTAATTTATGGACATACATATGAATATATTGTTGTTTTGAAATAAAATAGTTTTTACAATTACATAAATGTATGTCATGATTTACGTATATTATCTATTGAAAATCAGCTAAATGTTTTCAGTTAACCATACTTAAACAATAAAAAATTAAAACTTACTTAGCAAATAATGTATTAAATACAATTATTTTAAAATCAGATATAGAAATGACAGTCAAGTTTTAATTCTTTTTGAAAATGCCAAAAGTAACATTCATATTACAAATGATTTGGAATTTTTACCCATTTCACATATTTTATTGTATCTCTTTCCAAATAAATTGAATAAACTATAAATAATTTTTTATTCAATTAAACTTCACTGTTTAGTAAAATGTATAAATTAGATTTCTCAAAGCAACATGTGCAAGTGGAAAATAGAGGTGTTTCCTTGTCATTTATGTGCAATAAAATAACTGATAAAGGGAAAATTTCTTATGAAGTCAGACAACTTTCCTTTATTTGTAACATACAAATAAAACACTGACAAGGCAGAATGACTTTCCCTTTCATTGTCACAGAAACAAGCACTCTCAAACATGGCGTTTGTTTTAATTCAACATCACGTTTCTTAAAAAAGCGTTTCGCCCCTAAAAGGCCGAGAAGACACGAAAGGATGAATCCACAACAGCTTATATATATTTATACTTATGTACAGAGAGAAAATGAAAATGAAGAGAAGGACGTTGAAGAAACCAAAAATACTCACTGGATTCAAAACAAACTGGTTACAGAAATCCTCCTCAATTCTCAGTGAGGGTTTTTATTTAAAAAAAACAAACAAACAAAAAAAAAACAAGAACAGCCTGCAGCAGATCTAAATTTACTCTCATGCAATGTCACATTTTTAAAGGAACTGGAACAAACTAAAACCAAACAAGTTACTTACAGGGATTTCAGTGTTTTCACTATTCAGGTTGTGTTTAAAGTCTTTTACATAAGAAACAGACTCCAGATCAGAGCCAACAGGAAGCTGAAAAGATGATTGACTGACCTGAGAGAGAGACTATGCAGAACAGCATTGATCTAATTGTGACCTAAATGGTACAAAAATGTGAGTTATAGTAGAAATAAGCATGTTTCCTGGTCCTTGTGTCCTTTTCCTGATCACTGAAAAAGACAGAAAACTTTTTCTTTTTTTAGTTGGGAAACGATCAGCAAGTCTCACTTCATATTCAGTCAGCCATGCGGTTATTTAGGTGATTCATGACCTTTCTGACCTGTGCAGTTTTTCACATTTCAGCCCCCAGGTTCACATTTTACAACAGGCATCAAAACCGTACAAAAACTTGATAGAACCGCTTTCGAAAGAAACAAAACAAACCCCTTAAAGACGTACCAACCTAACACCCTCATCATGATGCTGGATGGAGAAACTTCCCATCTTCTCCTCATGCATGCATTTGAAAACAAACAGTACTGGATGTAAAACTGAAGAGATTCTGTAGGGAGAACAAAAGCAAAAAATAGGGTTTCTGATTTGCAATAGCAAATGAATCAGTCTGAAAAATACTCTCAAGTTTTTTGTTTTTTTTAAATAAATGGATCTGAAAGTAACCTTAAAACAACTAAGCAATTACTTTTTAGTGAGACATTGTTATGCGTATGTGCAGAACAACTTACTGCACCACTAAATTAAGACTAAATTTCATGCAGCCGCACATTTTGGCATATTTCTGCTGGTTTAGAAAATTTGCAAAATGAATTTCAGAGCTGCTGTTGGACCATTGATGACGATGAAGACGAGTTAATACTGGGGAACGAAGAAGGAATTATCTTCCAAAGAAACAATCCTCTGAACCTGATTCTGGTCAAAATCAAGATGATTTTAGGCGACTGCATGAACGTTTTGTTTATGTTGGCTCTTTAGTCATTTACTGATGCTGTTCTTTTTCCAGAGTCGAATAAAACAAGAATTTGGTGCTCAACTCTAAACACAATCTAATATTTACATACATGTTTATTAACTGAATGTCTGAAATGTTGTGTGGAGCAATTCTGGTTTAATTCTGGGTGGAGTTTTCCCAATTGGTACCAGATATGTTAGAGTTTCTATAAATTAATCAACAGCGTAATCCTCAAATGTAAAAACTGTTGAAGTTGGACCTTAACATTAACCTGTTTCTTTGTATCTTCTACTTCCAGCAAGAAAGATCCTGCTCCAAAACGGAAGCCATTAAAAATTACTAAAATTCTCTCGCCAGATGGTAAAAACCTTGGGAGTCATGAACCTATTCCAACAGGTCAAAGGTCAAAACCATGGATTCAAACTGGGTCTGGAAAGCAAAACCGGACCAACATCAAAACCAAGAAATCGACCAACATAACCAAACTCTACAATGTCTAATAAGATGTGATTGAGGTACAAATGGCTACTGATAGGAGTGAATGTAAATAGTTGAGCCTGTATCTACACTGCAAAAACAAGTTGCAATTCCACTGACAGATTATTTCACTTTAAAACATTTTTTATGAAAAAAAAAAATCTACCAGTGGAATTAATACTTTTTTAAAATCAATATTAAAGGAATCATTTCATTAAAACGAGCTCCTATATCTTACCAAAATGTTACTTGTAGGTCAGTTCAATCTTATTTAAAGTGTACAAAGACAAACAAAATAGTTTGTAAGATTTTGTGTTTTTTCTCCGTTTTAGTTATTCCACCTGTGCTGAGTGTATGTAAAGTTGTGATCTGAACTCTAAATGTGGCATTATAACACTGATATCTGGACCTCTGAAAAACGAGGCGAAATGGTCGAAAGGATATTCCAGAACTTTCAGGCACAGAGGAGAGGGAAACGCGAAGGAGAAACTAGAGCGTGGGAAACCGATTCAGCATCGTAAAGCGTTAAAAGAGAGGAGGACAAAAATAAGTGATCTAAACTTCTGGATTAAAAGTGGTAATAAAATAAAGAAAAATTAGGATTAAAGCGGCTTCTACGTAAATACAAACAGGGAATGATGAGGGATTGAGCAGATTATAGCAATCCTGCGACCGTTTCCGTAAGGCAGGGAGAAACATCAGACTTCAAGAAGCTGCAACTTGTCGACAAACTGGACAGCTCATTCAAGTTTCACACCTGCCGTCTTGAGTCAGGACATGATTTAAAGCTTTTCTACTGACTAGAGGCCGAACCAGCACCAGTATCGAGTCTTAAGCCACAGAATCAAAGAATCAAAACGACTCGTTACACTGCAGAACATGAAGAGACAGGAATATATCTACGAACGGCAATGGGAGGGTGGAGGTGAAAAAAGAGGGAGCGGGTCAATAACTTGGGAGAAGAGAGAAAAGCGTGAGCTGCTTTCCGTCTTTGCAGCAGGAATAAAAACAAACACACAAAACAGAATCCTGAAAAAAAGCTCATCAGCATCAGGACTTCCACCTGCGGCTCGTTTCTGACGCCGTTCGACCCCCCAAACCAGAAAAACGCTCCGTCACCCGCACGCACGCACAGCTTCCGAAAGTCGTCGCCCATCAGTGGCAGCAGCCGCCGCAGTGGCCGCCGCCGTGGGTGTGGCCAGCGGACGCCTCCCCGTGTTTGGTCCGCCGGCTGAGGATCTCGTAAGAGCAGTCGTCGCCGCAGCAACCGGACATGCTCGGCGAGGTTTCGTCGATCTCGAATCTGTTGGAGGAAGAAAAGTTTGTTATTAGCGCAGGAGAGGCGGCAGAGTCAATTTTTACCCATAATGCTCAGCTTTTACGGCAAACCAGAATGTTAAACTCAGCTGGCAGCGTTTATAGCGTCAGGGTTTCTACAGGTTCCACCAACTCAAGTTTAAGAATTTTTAAGATCGTTGTTAGTAAATTTTTACATCTAAACTGCAAAAACACAAATTGGGCTAAATTCTAGTACAAATATCTTAGTATGACGAAATAAAACAAAAGTAACTTCTCAGCACAATATAGGAGTTTGCTATATCAATAATAAAGACAAAAATTATTTTACGTTGATGAAAAAATGCAAGTTATAAATGAAATAACCTGCCAGTGTAAGTAGCACTAGTTATTGACTTAAAATAAGCTCCTACTGTTTGATGAAAAGTTACTTATAAGTTAGTTTTGTCTTATTTCAAGTTTACAAAGAAACTAGACAAAAAATACTTGGCAAGAGTTTGTGTTTTTACAGTGTATAATGTGACAGAGATTTCCTTTAATAAATTTAAGATATTTTAAGGTTTTGATTTTAAGCATATGGATTTAAAACATTTTAAGGGATACATAGACAACCTGGAAATATAAAATGAGAAGTGAGAGCATTGGAGGATTTTAGCTGTTTAAAAAAACAAACAAAAAAAAAACCCAAATCAGTCTACAATTTTTCTTTCAGGTCAGATAAGATTGTGCTCTTTAAGAGTTACGTCTTTCAGTATTTATTGAAATACTTATTTATTACAACCAGCTCTTGTACTCACTGTAGAGCTTCTCTGAAGAACTGGTAAGCCCCGTGGTTGTGCTTGAAGACCGTCAACATCACCTTCTTCATCTGCGTACTGAGTGGAAACAAAAGCACAAACAATATTAGTTTATATATTCACCACTTGGAAATAAAAGTCAAGATTAAAGTACATGCAGGCCAGACAAAAATGTGTTGTCTTTTTTAAGATTAAAACTCCTAAATCATTGTAAATTTGTTTTATTACCTACTCAACAACAAACATATTTTAATGAGATGAGCAAGATAAAATGAAAAACATTAAGCCATACTTTGTGGAAAAATGAAAAAGTGGTATGAATTTTGTAGATAAATGAAATGTGAATCAAAGCAGATCTGAAAGATATAAAAAGGATATAAAAAGTTTAATGCATCAGAATCTACTCTTGAGTAAAAGTTGCTGAACGTTTGTTGTCCTTCTTGCTTGTTTAAAAACAGTTTAAAACCTGATTAACAAAAGACAAATAGTTTGTGTTTTCCATAACATTTGCCATTTTATGGTTAGAATTTATCAGTGATAATATTACAAATTTAACCAGACAGCTGATAAGTGTAACATTCTTGATTTGAAGTTCAAAGTTCAACTACCACAAATGGCCCCCAGACCATACATTGGACATGTCTGATTTAAAATGGACAGTTTCAGTGTTGATGCAGGAAGGGGAGGAGTCAAAGGTCTCTGTGTAAAACCGAGGCTGCGGTTTTCACCTGTTAGCGATGAGCTGCAGTATCTGGATGAGGAACTTTCCGAGCCCTTTCCTCCGCACTTTGCTCTCCAGCTGCACCTCGTAGCTGCAGAGCAAACAACGCATGGCAAGCAAGAACAAACCTCACTTCCGGGGTTTTAATCTGGACATCCGGAGTATCCTACCAGTATAAAACCTCTTCCCCGCACTCCACGTCGAATCGGAAGTGGGAGAAGGCCAGGGGGGTGGAGTCTGCGTCGCGGGCCAGCAGGTACCACGCCCTCTCGTCGTTCATCTCCTCCCTCTTTTCCCTCTCCTTCCATCCCCACTCGCTCTGCTCGTATCTGCAGCGACAGCAGAGAGGAAGCTGCTCTGAAACCCCACAAACTCCGGAGAAATGTTACAATCATCTCCACTGGATTGGAACAGATTTGGAAAGCAGGAGAAACTTTGATAAAGCGTGAGATGAAGCAGCAGATGAAGCAATTGACATGACGCCACGGCAAGATCTCCAAAAATGTGCAAATAATGAAAGTTTTTCTTTGTCTGTTGGTATGTAGTTTTGTTTTTAATTATCAGACATGCATGTAATTAAACACTAACCTGGCTTTTCACAAATTCAGACTCTGTTAAATTATGCTTGATTACATCCAATGTCCAGGGGCTGCAGGTGGAAATGAGCATTTTTGTTGACAGTAAGGTGGAGATAATGCAAGAATTAAGTGGTAATAAAGTATTTAAGTAAAGTTTGTTTTAAGTGCATTTTCCCAACCGACAACATTTAATAATGTTTTCCAATTATTTCCCACCAAACCACTCTGACTGCCGGACTTTCGTAAAGATAAACCCGACATTTTGAGGTCCAGTTCCTCCAGGTGGGCGGAGTTTGCTGCCGATTGGTCGCTCACTGCCAAACCCACTGGACTTGACTGTCAGGTGGCGCCATGTCAATCGATCCCGTCTGTGTTCAGTTTCCTTCACTACAACAGAACCAAACCTCTTACAGCGTCTGCATGTTGGCTCTGGTGAGTTCGAAGGCCCACTCCACGGCCAGCGGGTTGAGCGAGGTCACTCTCTTACACTCTATCTGCAGGTTCAACCTGCGCCAGACCAAAATCATCAGTTCAACGGCATCAGAGACGAGGAAAGCTGGAAAAACGTGCAGAAGCTGATGCGTACCCGTTTCTGTCGTACTTTTTGAAGGCTGGGAAAGCAGCCAGAGGATCGTCGAGCTGGAAGGAGGAAACAATTATCATTTATTTTATTATTAAGCATCAAAGCGTCCTGTCGGAGCCAAAGCCAAAACTTTTTTCACTACTCTCATTTCGATGGGCCAACGATCGAGACCGGACTGATACCAACTATTATTTTAGTAATTGACAAACTTAATCACACTGTTAAATACTAATAAACAAGTAATTAAATTCCTTTTTTTAAATCAGAAAACATGTTATTGTCTGACAGGATTTCTTAATCATTTGTAGCAAAGAATGAATTTATAGCTTAAAAATGATAAGATTAGCTATTTATGCTTAATTTAACACTAATACAACAGAGATAATTATTTTTTAATCAACCAATAAATAATTGGCAGCAAAATGTGCTTAATAGGATATTTTTTAAGTATATTTTCTACAGAATTTGAACAAGGTGAAGCTAAAACTAGAAGAACTTTTGGCTTGTAAATGTGTTTACAGATAAAAAAAAAATTGTTTTTCATTTTATATGCAAAACTTTTATAGTTTCTGTACAGTTTCGGTTTAATTACTGATCTGAGTGGGTTTATTTTCAGTAATTGACCTTTTTCAGGGTCTGTATACTCCAGTTAATTAATCAATTACAAAATCAGCTGCAGATTACTTCAATCACCATTAATTGTTTCAGTAATAATCACGAGGAACAACGAGATAGGAGAGTTTAGATCAGGGGTGTCAAACTCCAGTCCTCGAGGGCCACTGTCCTGCAGTTTTTCAATGTGCCACAAGTACAAAACACAGGAATGAAATGGCTTAATTACCTCCTCCTTGTGTAGATAAGTTCTCCAGAGCCTTGCTCATGACTAACTATTCTATTCAGGTGTGGTGCAGCAGAAGCACATCTAAAAGTTGCAGGGCAGTGGCCCTCCAGGACTGGAGTTTGACACCTGTGGTTTAGATGATTCTGCTGTTTATTTATTTGCTTGATGCCACCACTGATAGCAGGAATACGGCCAGAAATGTTTGTTGAAGGTTTGGTAGGGAGCAGCTGCTGTTCAGCCGGTGGATGATGTTTGTAAACAATCTTCGCCAGATTGTTCACATTCAAACACAACTGGTGGATTTAATTATGCACAATCAATCAATCAATAAAATTTTATTTGTATAGCACATTTCAGCAACAAGGCCTTTCAAAGTGCTTTACATCGTAAACACAAAAAAACACAAAGTCATGCATCATAGAATAGACAATACATTGTTACATATTACATTTCAAATACAATTCTAAGCAGGTGTGTTTTTAGTTGAGATTTAAAAGAAGTCAGGGTTTCCGCTGTTTTACAGGTTTCTGGAAGTTTGTTCCAAATTTTTGGTGCATAGTACCTGAAAGCTGCTTCTCCTCTCTTGGTTCTGGTTCTGGGGATGCAAAGCAGACCATAACCAGAAGACCTGAGAGGTCTGGAAGGTTGATACAACAACAGCAGATCTTTGATGTATTGTGGTGCTAACCGTTCAGTGATTTATAACTACAACAGTATTTAAAATCTATTCTTTGAGCTACAGGGAGCCAGTGGAGGGACTTTAAAACTGGTGTTATGTCTCTATATTCCTGGTTTTAGTGAGAAGAGCAGCGCTGCAGCAGCTTTCTGTCATTGATTTGTTGGACAGACCTGTGAAGACGCTGTTACAATAATCAATGCAACTAAAGATAAACACATGAATGAGTTTCTCTAGATCTGGCTGAGACATTAGTCCTCTAATCCTGGAGATGTTCTTCAGGTGATAGAAAGCCGATTTTGTTACTGTCTTTATGTGGCTCTGAAGGTTCAAGTCCGAGTCCATCACTACTCCCAGGTTTCGGGCCTGATGCTAGTTTTTAGTTGTTATAACTGAAGCTGTGCATTGACTCTAGATCGTTCCTCTTTAGGTCCAAAAATAATGACTTCAGTTTTGTTTCTGTTCAGCTGGAGAAAGTTTTGGCACATCCACACATTTATCTGTTCTAAACATTTATTCAGTGATTGGATGGGTTCAGAGTCACCTGGTGACATCGTAATGTACAGCTGAGTGTCATCCGCATAGTTGTGGTAGCTAAGAAACCTGAGCCAGGCATATGGAGTGTTAATTATCGATATCCTTTTAGCACCACGTGCCATTCATATGTTCATTTGAGTAAATACCTTATTAGCAGCTTCCACCTTTGCACACACAGCGTCCATCGCTGCCCTCTCCTCCAGACGCCGGGCTTTCTTCTCCTTCGCTTTGTTGGATTTCCTCTGAAAATGCAGAAAATAAGGAGGAAATGAGGACAGACTTCATGAGTTTATGACTTTATGGAGCGAAGATAAGCGGAGGAAAAGTAAAAACACTTTTTCTCCAGAATGAGACCAATCATTACATGGCATAAAACTATTATTAGATGTTTTTAATCACATTTTAATTGACAAACTTTGATCTAAACTATTCCAGCGTTTGGTTTTCTGGCTGGAAGATGAACTTCCACCTGTCTCAAGTCTTTTGCAGCCTCCAGCAGGTTTTCCTCCTCATTTGTGTCACATTTGGGTGCATTCGATCAGCTTTCTTGTCCCTAATCGATCAGGAAAGAGTCTCCACAGCATGATGCTCCCACTGCCATGTGTCGCAGTGACAACTGTGCATCCAGGGCACAGGTAAGTGAGATGGACTGAAGTTTCATCACAATATTTTGTGGTTCTGCAGCGAGTAAACACTAGAAACGTAAACATGTTTCATTACTTCATTTTCTTTTTTCTCATATTTATCCAAGCGTAGAAAATAATTAAATAAGAATCCATACCTTTCAAGATGTTTGACCTTACACTTCACAGTGTTGCTAAACAGTTTTGGTGCATCATACGAAACCCAGTTAAAATGCAATGAAGTTTGCCATAACCTGAAGATTAGTATGGATATTTTTAAATAACACTAATTGTGATTTTATTTTTAAAAAATGCACATATATTAATGGCAGAAGGAAATAAAATGCATCTCATGTAACAAAAGTTTTTTCAAAGTCCATCACATTTGGTGTGACAGATAATCTAACAGTCTTAGTTTGAAATAATTGAAGCGAATTAGGAGAAAATATTATTACAAAATATGTTTACATTCAGCAAAATATATATGAATTGGCCAAAAAACATGGTAAAGTTTTTTAAATGTGTGTTGCAGAGTTTAAAAGCTTGAATGTCAACTTTGTTTTGACCAGATATGAAAGTCCTCACTGCTGAGAGTCGGGCTGAACAATTGAATTAAGCACATGACGAACATTTGATGCAATTATTCTGCAGGAATGTGTTAAATATAAATAGCTCGTTCTGCTGCTTCGTGCACAATAAAGTAAGAGTAACATTTATTTTTACAAATACAAAAATAAATAAACCAAAAGGATCTAAAAACATGAACAACCCACATGATTATAACAAGAAATATGATCAGTCTTGCAGATCAAATGAAATTGTTGCACTTGAAATCAAATTATGCGAACATTATTGTGGGACAATGAAAGATGTTTCTACTCCAAACAGCTTGATGGAGAGAAAGAAAAACATCTGGATGGACGGACAAAAGGACAATTGGATAGATGGATATAGGAACTAACAGAAGGAGGGAAGGACGGATTCACAGAAAAAGAGATGATTCATATACAATTTGATAAATAGCCAACGAAAAAAAATGGTGGACAAAAGAAATAGATGATGGAGGAAAGTGAACAGCTTGGCCTGTCATGATAATACATTTTGTGAGATGATAAGCTATCCCTGAAGTTATTGCGATAAACAGCACATACTTGTTTTGAGACCATTTTTAAAATGGCATAATGATGGAAGAACATGTTTTCAAAGATTATTACACTTTAAATGCTAAAGAATATTTAACTCTGGAACTAGAAGATATTTTAAATATCCCCAAAAAATAAACAAAACAACAAGAAACAACAAATAAAAAGAGTGATGACGTCTCTGTAAATGAAACTGTCCTGAAAAAAAGGGTCAGTTGAGTCTAAAACACCAAATATGACTTTAGTCATTTAGTTTTAGGTGGAAAGAGGGAAAAAAGGAAAAACCAAATCATGCTAATGGAAACTATTGATTTTATTCTAATTTATCACATGATTAATTGATTTATTGCTTATTGCATAGGCTTAGGGACAGGACAGTTTGACAGATATATAAACATCTTGATGGATGGATATATTGATTGGACATTACTGGAGAATAAAATGGGAATTGAAGGCAAAAAAAATACATTTTTCATTCTTATTCTGTGGAAACACTTTAAATTAAACGCCACGCTTTCCCTGAAGCCTTCAAACGTGAAAATCATCCATATCATGTCCTGCTGGTGCAACAACTCGTGCAAGCAGCAAGAATGTCAAACCCTGATCTGATTTCTGCATGTTCATAAAGTTTGTTGTGGTGTGTTTACATTGCCGAAGTGATGCGTTCGCGTTCCACCAACAAACAAGCAGGAATTAAGCAAGAAAAGTGCTCCACTGCAGGCCTGAACAGACCCAGGGACAATCAAGAACTGGAATGCACGCCGAGTTGCCAACTTTAGCTCAGGGAGCATTAACTGTGTACCAAGCACAGACTGAGAAAACACGTGGATGGGTTTATTACGACTGCAGGGGGAAAGTGAGGGAACAACCAGAAGTTTGACTGAACACGTTCAGATTGTGTCTGTTAGGAAAGAGGGGAAAAACTTCCAGAAAGCCTGACTTTTTTTTTTTTTTTCATTATTAGCAGGTGGGTGAAGGCAACACACTCGGGCCTTTGTGGCTAACACAGCCTGCTAATAACATCACAACACACTAGCACGTAAATGTCAGAAATGTGACGGGAAATGACGTGTTAATAACAGGGGGAACTAGGCAAAGTATGTATGAGCTAACACTCCAATGCTAACTAAGCTGTCTGGATGAGGCCAAACACCTTTAGCTCCATCCATCCACCTCCATCACCATCATCTCCTCCTTTCATCCTCTCACCATCACTCACATTTCAAGGCAACATTAAACAACAAAAACACAACTCACCCCCATTTTTCTCCCCTCTACAGCTGTGACTTGTCGTTTTCTTCCAGGGAAACGCTCCTCTATTGTCCCGGTGCCGCTCAGTTATTATCAGGACCGTGACTCCGACCGGAGGAAAGAAAAAAGGGGGAGCAGATTAATGTGACAATGATAAATAAGGTGCTAACGAAGCTAGCTGCACACGTCGCCGACCGTTGGAGGCGAAAGAAAAGCGGCGGCCAGTTACAAAATCTGACCAAAATCGCAATGAGGATCTTTTAATTGCTATGTAAGCGGTCGCATTCGCGCCAACACAGCGACGCTGAATTCATTAGGGCTCCTTCCTCTACCCCCCCTTCTACGCTTTCTTTCTTTCTTTAGTTCCTCCTCTCGATGCCGTGCTGCATTCACTTGTTCCTCATCGCATCGGAATTCTCACACTCCCCAGTCCTAACTAAACGCTAAACGCATCCAAAGCCCCGCATTCTGCCTTTAAGCAAACTTTTTTTAAAATACATGTAATTGTACACTTTTGTAATATGTAAATGTATGGCTTTTATCACTTAATACCGTTATTAAGATAAATGTGCATTTTATTCAACTGAAGGAGGCGATCCCTTTAAGAAACAGACACATTCTAGTGTAACCGTGTGAAGTAATTTAAGAGCGAATGTCTGTTGAATAGAAACATGAGTATGAGTACTCCTGATACTCCTGATAAAGTAGTAAAGCGAAACCTGTGACAACTTCGAGTAGAAACGTGGAACAACTGTAATATCTTCTTTACCTCGAACATGATCTAGCATTGCAAAGCATAGAAAGTGCTAAGTTGCTAAAATAACAGTCACTTTTGTCCACTTTCACGTAGTCAGAGTCAATTACATGAAATGTCAGACATGTCTTTTTTTGTCAAAGAGTTATAAGACAAAAAAGGTTTATGGCAGCGGTGGGATTCGAACCCACGCCCCCGAAGAGACTGGAGCCTTAATCCAGCGCCTTAGACCGCTCGGCCACGCTACCACATACACACGTCCTCCTGACAGGGTTCATATCTTAGTGACGTCAGAAGATAGTGTAGCATGAGTAGTTTGGATATTTCAGGTTTTCACATAGTTATATAAATGGGGGAGATTAGCTAAAACTGTCTAATCCAGATTGTGATTACATACTAATTACAAAAGGCAGTTTTCAGATTATGATTTTGATATTTAAATGAAAAACTTATCAAAAGTAACATGCCTCTATATTTAAAAAAGTATGTATGGATAACATAAATGCAACAACTAGCAGTAAGTTTTTTACATCACTGTGGAGGAGTTTTCTCCAAATTTTGTTTGCCAAATTGTTTGCCAAATTGTTTTAATTTAGCCATATCTGAGAGTTTTTCGGAGTATAATTAACCTGTTTATGGCAAAGTCTCTGACTGATTTAAGTCTAGACTTTGAGTAGGCCATGAAAAAAAAATTGACCCATCAAGCGGGTAATAATGTGCTGCGGTAATTTGCTATATAAAGTGTTTTTTGAGTAAAGTCATCCCATATGTCACTGTAAGTGTTGTTTTTCAGCAAAATTATGAAGCACCGAGATTTAAAACCTGAAGCAGCAGTGTGCCATATTGACCACTAGATGGCGATAAAGTGACATTAAACTGCCAAATCACACTCCAGTCCCAAAGAAGTTATTAATAAAAAAAATAATAATAATAATTGTGCTGCTTCATAAAATGGTTCATACAGCATTTTATTAATAAAATTAGATGTTTTTATGATAAAATTATAAATTTATGGGGGTAGGGGGTTGTGTATTTATATTGTTCTATCTTTAAAATGATGGTAACTCAAGCAATATTTTTTGCCCCACAAGCAGAAACTATTTCCAATATTTTTATTTGAATGATCTGGGAGAACCTGGTTGACCTTTGATTAGCAACCCTTAAGCTATTTATTATTATCTTTAAAACAGTGATGACAAAGCAGATTGCTGGACAAACATGCACTAACTTCATTTAAAAAAAAAAAAAAAAGGTGTTTGATGCCATTTCTGTTTTTTAAAGATTTTTAATAACATGGACAAGAAGCCACTGAACTACACTGGAGGAAAGGGTGCCTGGCTTATTTGATCACTTCCACAAGTTAAAGGTTAAATTATCTGGATATTTCTATGTATACTGGAAGACTTGAAGAACTCCCAAATTACTAATCTCTGGTTAAAACGTGCTATTGGCTTTGATTGAACAACATTGTTTTTGTGCCTCCCCATGGGGTATAAAAACGTGTTTTAGTCATATGACATTGGATGATCACCTAGCTCTTGAAGTATCTAAATAAAGACTTTGTGTAGGGGTTTCTGTGAATCTCAGAGCACTAGCAGCAGATCTCCACAGCAGGCAGATGGCCTTGTCTCCAAACCCCGCCTACAGTCTTTTGTCCTCAGGGAATCTGTCTCTCGGCTGTTCACAGAAACACCTTTTTTTTCCAGTCGTCAGAAGGGGGCGCAGTGGAGCCCATTTGAAAGTGAGGCCTAGTGTTCATTGCAACAAGCCTTTTCTGATTGCATGCTGCAGCAGGAGAGGCCAGATAGTTTCTGCTCAAATGTTCTTGTCTCTGTCAGTAAGCACAGCGGCGCAGGGGAGGAGAATAAAATGCAATAAAGAGCCCTGACCACCTCCACCCACATGTATACTGTTATACCTGTAACTACAGACACACTCAGCTGGATGAGAAAGGCTGGAAACAGGGGGGAGGATGAGTGAAAGAATCAGCAGTGCAGTGTGGAGAGAGGATGAAGATGGGAATGAGCTGGGCGCCTGCAAGCCGACAGTGTGCTTCATATCTGCCCTCAGGACCAAAACCTTAAATCAACTCTGATCAATTGTGTTTAATTTTCTGTGTCTTGCAAAACTCTTCATAATTTTGGTCATGTTGCTCTCAAACTTCAGTGTGTTTTTCTAGGATTTTATGTAGCAGAGCCAATGTGACATTTTTCACATATAAAACACAAAAAGTGTTTTATATGTATACTGGAAGACCACTTCCAGTGGAGCCAAATTGCTCTGAGACGTCACTCAAAGTCCAACCATGTGTGATTTACTATCAGTGTAAATATACATGTTTCATGAAGACTTCGAGGTTTGCTTTGCTTTGTTTCTCCAGAGCAGTACATCACCGGTTGGTACAATTTGGTAAGTTATTTTATCTGTTTCGTGGACAACCTCCTTCAGTTGTACATCCATAGAACGACGGTACAGTGAGGGAGGAGTTACTGCCGTCACATAACAGTCCATTGATCAGGAGACAGAAAATGTCATAAGAACAAGGCATACACACTAGCATGCAACGTTAGGCCTTCTGGCTTGACCCGGCATCCCGGTTTATGTTGGAGTTATACTTTGTCACTTTTGAATTAAAGTTTGATATCAAACTGATTGATTTGTGATAATATTTTTGTGAAGGAATGAACGTTTAAATGATCATTTACTTAAACTCATATTTTGGCAACATTTTATTGAATTAGCTGGCAGTGTTTTGTAAATAGTGACCCAACAGAAATCCCTGTCAGGGCAAAAATATGCAAATATTCCTCCAAATTCTGTCATTGTAAAGCCGAGCAGGAAGCTATTCTGTGAAGCTAGTGACCATTAGTCTGTGTCCTGAATTTATGTTCGAAGAGCTCTCTTCATTTGAGGATTTCATGACAACAGGAAGAGTCTTCAATCTGTTCAGTCTGATTCTTGGATGGATGGACGGATGGAGGGATGAGTTATGTAAAAATGTGGAGAGGAATGCGAAGGAAAACAGACGAGGGGCAGACTAAGAGACAGGCGAGAAGAAGGAAGGAGACAGGTGGAGAGCTAAGGAGGTGGTGGAAAAGAGAGGATGGGCGGAACACCGAGCTACAAGAGAGGATGAAGAGGAGGAGGAAGAGTGGTGGATGAAAGGAGGAAGCTAAGAGGGAGATATATAACAGTTGTTCATTAGTGAAGATATGTTAGGGATCGGAGAGACGGTGGACTAATGAGAAAGGAGACAAGGAGGAGAGGAGAGAAGGTGCAAAGGGTGAAAATGAGACTGAAGAGGGAGGAAGAGGAGCAGGGGAGGAGAGAGGTGGGGTAAGAGGTGGGTGGAGGAGAAGGGGTGGTGAGGTGGTGGAAGTGAGCGAGGCGAAACTGGTTGGGGGAGGGGAAGGGAAGAATTTGCACGTACGCACACCACACAAACACACACTGTTGAAACTGCAAGGAAAGAGGAAGAGGAGAATGTAGAAGAGTGAGATGATGAGAGCAGGAAAGACGCAAGAAGAAGAGGAGGAAGATTTGGAGAAGGAGGAGGGTAGGGACATGAAAAGAGGTGAGGTTATGAAGGCGAAGGAACAGATGAAAATGGAGGAGGATGAGAGAAATTAGGACATGGAGGAGAGGAGGAAGAGAGAAAGTTACAGAAGCAAAAAGACCGACGAAACTGGAAGGTGAATCAATCAAATCAAGGAGGAAGCAGGAGCACTGAGGAGGAGGAACAGGAGGGAGGGGTGGAAAGCAAGGAAGATCATGGAGGAGATGGTGATGAGCTGGGATGAGGAAGAGGAGGAGGAAGAGGAGGTGGAGAAGCCTGTAACAGTCTGCTGCATGTCAACAAGTAACCCTTGTGAGGGTCACAGCAGGTTGTTGCAACAGCTGTCCATAAAAACACTCTATATTCTGCACTCACACACACACACACACGCACACACACACCCACGCACACACACACCTACACACACATCTACGTGTGTGTATACAGGTGCACACACAGATGCAACGAAACGTCTGCAGACACAAGGCCGGGACTCGTCTTCAGCTTTTGACATTTTAAATGAAAAGAATAATAAAATGGAGCGGTCTGAGTCTGTGCAACTGAGTCGCAGCAAGTTCAAGCACAAAGTCACGCATGCTTCTGGGGACACTGTCTCTCTCTCTCTGCCTCTCTCACTCGAACACACATACACACACACACATGCGCACACACACACACACTCGCAGCAGTATGGAGCCATGAACGTGCCAAGTGTGGAAATAAAGATGGCGGTGCGCTACGGAACAGATCTAACAAAGAAACCTTAAGCTACATGAACCTAGCTGAATTGAACCGAACCCTTTGCTAAAAGATTCTTTGAAATCATACAAATGTACAGCGCTCCGCAAAGGTATTCACACCCCACTAACATTTGGTCACATTACAACCCCAACTTTTATTGTATCTTACTGATTTTTATGTGAAAGAACTCAAAAATAGTTACTACCCATTCCTCTTTGTAAAACAATTCAGCCCTGGACAGACTGGATGGAAAGAGTCTATGAACATAAATTTTCAAATCTTACCACAGACTCTCAAATTTGATTTAGATCTGGACTTTG